GCCTTTAGAAATTCTCAGGAATTCTCAGGAAGAAAAAAGTTACAATTCATGTAAAGATATTTTAGAGTGTGGAGACAAAGTACCTACAAAATATTACAAAAATATTTTTAAAATTTGCCAAAATATTACAACTCCTAGACGTTTATAGAAGATTTAGAATCATCAGACATTAGAGCTCATTGTAATCTAGACATTTAAAAAAATTTAAGAACACAGTTACTATGTGGGTACATGTGTTTTAAAAAATTCAAAGAATGTAGTTACAACTTAAGTTCCCCAAAGCTTCTTTCCTAGTCTCTGGGTTACTCTTTTCATTCTCTTAATAGTGTCTTCTGAAAAGCAAAGTTTAAAAATTTTTATATAGTCCAACTTAACAATCTGTTCCTTTATGGATGATCCCAAAGCCCCAAATCTCCTTCAGGGGCATATCCCTAGTAACCTTACTTCCTCCCAGGAGCCTCTACCTCCTACAGGTTCCACTGCCTCCCAGCAGTGCCACGGGCTGGTGGTCATTCCCATAGCATATGGGCTTTTCAGAAACATTTAAGATCCAAACCATAGAAATGCAATTCTTTTCACTGATTTTTGTTTTGGAATATAGTTATTTTTCATAAAGATATTTATGTTAATAAATCTTGAGCAGGTAGGCCTGCTCACTTTTTCTTCCTTTCTCTTCTTTCTTTTCTTCTTTTTCAATCTGTCTCTCATATTTTTTGAGACAGGGTCTTGCAATGTGGTTCAGGTTGACCTTGAACACACTATGTAATTCAAGCTTGCCTCGAACTTACAGTGATCCTCCTGCCTCAGCCTCCTGAGTGCTGGGATCTCAGGCATGTAGCATCACATCTGGTTTATTCTACTCTTTTAAAATGAATTATTTTAGAATTTAATTTTTGATATATAAATACCAATAAACAAAATCTCTTTGAGGAAATTATTTTTAGAAGAGAAAAAGAGTCCAGGGAGTTCAGAGACAAAGTTAAGACTGTTGTAGTGGGAGCCACTGTGTGTGTATGCATGTGGGTATCTTTTCCATATTCTTGCTGTCTTCCTGTCTAGTTCTTCTAACAGCTGAGAGTAGTTGCTAAAGTCCCTAGCTATACTTCAGGCTTTATCTATTTCTCCTTTCAGTTACATCAGTGTTTGTATGTTGAAGCTGTTATTTGGTGCTTACATATTTATGATTGTTATCTATGTCTGCTAGAGTGATCTTATCACTGTGTAATGTCTAGTCATATCCATTAGGCAGTTCCTTATGAACAGTGATGAAAACATTCTCAACAAACTACTAGAACACTCAAGTTAGCAACATTTTAAAAGAATTATACACCATGACCAAATGGGATTTATTCTAAGAATGCAAGGATAGTTCAACATACAAGAACCCAAAAACCTCATATACCACATTACAGAACTAAGGGAAAAAACCCTCCACACAGTCATCTCAATTGATGGAGAAAAAAACAAAATTCAACTCCACTTAATCATAAAAACACTCCACAAACTAGACATAGAAGGAAGCTATCTTTTAAAAAAAAAAGCTGTACATGTAACCTCTGGCCCAGACCAACATGCTGGCATCTGTGAGGATTGCTGTCTGCCACCAGAGAAGAGGATGCTTAGTCCTCATTGAGAGAGCAACAGGAAGATTAAACTCTTTACTGAGCCCTGCTATAGTGGCCTTCATCCATCCATGACAGCAGAGTCATCATGATCTGCACATCTAAGAAGTTACCTCCTACACTCCTGCACTGGGAACTGTTTCCAATACATGAAATTTGGGTGTGGGGGGACAAACATTCAGACCATCACATTCCATCCCTGGCTCTCAAAATCCATGTCCTCCAATTCAAGATATCATCATTCAATCGCAGTAACCCCAAAAGTCTTAACTCTTTAGCATCAACATTTAATGTCCAGCTTCATTTAAATCAGATATAGGTATGACTCATCCTGAGGCAAACTGCTCTCTAGCTGTGGACCTATGAGGTCTAACAAATTACCTACTTCCACAATACAGTGATAGATATGCATAGAATATATTCCCATTCCAAAAAGGAGCAACAGGAAAGCAATAACAACAGGTCCAAAATAAATCTCAAACCCAATACGACACACACTAATTACACTTTGAGGGTTGTGAATAACCTTCACTCCATGTCCTGCTCTCGAGCCAGACATTCCTGCCCCATAGCTTTGCAGGGCTCAGCCCATGCAACAGCTTCCTTGGGTTGGAGTCTCACGGCTGCGGCTATCCCAGGTTGGTACTGCGTGCTGGTGGTTCACACTCCCAGGGTCTCAGGGGCAGTCCTGCTCCCACAGCTCCACCAGGCATTATCCCAGCAGGGAACTGTGATGGCTGTGCACCAAGTCTCTGAAACAATCTTTAGAATCCAGGTAGGAAGCTTGTACTCTGAGGGCCTGCAGAATTTGCTCCCTGTGAACCCTGCCATGCCTCATCACTTGTGCCCTCTGGAGCAGTGGCTCAGCCTGGGTCTGCTTCAGTTACACCCAGGATAGGTAAGGAGCACAAGTGTGAAAGCAGAGACCTGAGGTGGCCCTGGGCTCAGAGGTCCCGTAGGCATCCTGGGCTTTTCTGAAAACTTTCTCCTCCAGGGCCTAGTACTCTGGGCTTGTGACAGACATGGCTGCCTGGAAATCTCTGAAGTGGATGTCATTTACCCTTTGATGAACAGCACCTGTTCCAAGAACATTAAGTTTAATATTAAGTTGGTCAATATGAAATGGCCAGTTATTTGATAGCTTATTACTCACAAAAAATGGATGTGGGTCAACCTAACCTTTGTTTTTATTTTTAAGAAGAGAAAGACAATGAAAAGGCAATTCACTAAATTAAGGCAACTAGGCCAGATAAGAAATCTAATAGGCAGGTAAGAACCCATCCTAAAAATGTAATAGCTATTCCAAACAGGCAAGCTAAAGGCTAAAACATCATTTTATTTTAATCAAGAATGATAGGAGGCATGACTTAATCTTCTCTTACCTTATAGATTACAGGGAATCCATTACGCTTTTGCAAATGAAAGATTTCATGTTTAAATCTGACTGGGATATTATTTTTAGTGACTGGATGGCTTAGAACGAAGGCCCATCAAGCTCCTGTACTGACCAGCTATATGGTGATTATTTATAAATCACTTTATGATCAGTACTGACCTAGTCAGAGATCAGCTATGCCTAACAGCATAACTAAAAAAAAAAAATAATGTACCACTGAGGAACAGAGTTTTGAGTTTTTCTCCTGCCACTTTATCTGTAAACAATTTTCAACCATCTAGCTGTAGAAGGGCTCCTTTAGGTATTGTGCTAATCTGGGGCCACATTCATAAAAACAAAAAGCACCAAAGGGAATGTTCTTTATTTGCCTGCACTGAAACTATATTAGAGTTGCTAATTTGGAAGAACAACAATAGAGTGCTATGTAGTAAAACCTTTTAATCTTTTTTTTTTTTTTTTTTTTCTTTTTTGCTATTAGGAGTCAAACTCAGGACCTTGCACTTGCCAGGCAAATGCTGTGTTGCTGGGCTACATCCTTGGCTTTTTAATCATTTCTTTTTTTTTTTTTTTTTTTTGGTACCAGGAATTGAACTCAAGACCTGTGCTTGCTTGCCAGGCAGGTACTTGTGCTGCTCAGCTATATCCCCGGCCCTTTTCAATCATTTTTAATCAACCCTCAAAGTTATTTTGGGGAGACCTAAGTGTCAAGAAATTGGGACATGTATTTTGTCTGTGACATACTATCCCTACATAATTTTTCACTTGTCTAGAGAACAGTATAAAACAGCACCCAGCCAGGCATGATGGCACACACCTGTAATTCCAACACTCAGAAGGCTGAGGTAGGACAATCACTGAGAGTTCGGGGCCAGCCTGGCCTATATAGTGAGTTCAAGACCAGAGTGAAATACATAGCAAGACCTTGTCTCAAAAAACAGGGCTGGGGATGTGGCTCAGTGGTAGAGTTCTTGCCTTGCATGCACAAGGCCCTAGGTTTGATCCCCAGCAGCACAAAAAAAAACCCCAAAAAAACAAAAAACAAGCCAACACTGCACTCCTCATAAAATAGTACCCAAACTTATTAGCAAGCATACTAATTTAAAGCAAACTTTATTAAATTATATGGCCATTTTCATGGAACCCAGGGTGACACAAAACGTACTCTTTCTCCTATGAAAACTGGTGAGCTGGTTAAAAATATGACTAAGTAAATGAGCATAGAGTTTGCAAGTTATAGAAATAAATAAACCAAGCTCTATGCCAGCAGCAATTTCTCCCAAAGAGTATGACTAAGCTTTTAGAATTAGGAAATACCAATGGTGGCAAGGAAGTGTGTACTTCCTCTCAGATGATTAGACACCAGAGACCATCATATGATAGTAACACGGCCAGCCTAGCCTTTTCCATATGACGGAGAAGTGCTATTTCTGCTGAAGTTGTGGATACCAGGTGCTCTCTATGCCGTCACAGATTATAGATATGAGAGAGACCAAAGTTCCTGAGGGCTGTAGGTAGGCAGTTCCACGTGGTGAGTCCCTTATGAGCAAGGAGGAGGATGCAATGTGTCTTTCATCATAGAAATATGAGTAATTCTCAGCTTGCTAAGAGAACTGAGATGGTGCATATGGTTGGCCCGATCATGTGTGCTTTTGACCTTTTGATGTCTGCTAAACCAAATTTTGCAATCCTAAAACTTCTCCCAATATATGCAATTTCTATCCACTGGGCAACTATCTTGATCCATTCAAATATAGGAAGGTAGGAATCTTGTTGGCCTGGAGATTTTAACCATTCTTAGAACTCACCTTCAATCCTTGGTCATTCTAAACCAAATGCAGATAGATTTGGGGCTAACCAGAGCTTGGCTAGCTCACTATTCACTTATAACTCACTCTGCTCATCAGGAAAATCAAAGTAGAGAACCTTGTCAGTAGGGTATGTAGCTTGCCCAAGAGCATTAAGGTAAAGAAGTACAAGATTAGTTACAGGTTGTTCTTTTCACTTTTATTTAAATAAATACAATACTTGTGTGTAGTACATAGCCTGACCAGATTCTCATTTCAGGCTTGTATATTTGAATTTTTAGGCGTGCAATGCTGTGGTCCACAATAAGACATTTCTCTAATTTGAAACAACTGCTTCAGAGGCAAAGGAAAACAGCTGGCTTTTTGGTAAAAAAAAAAAAAAAAAAAAAAATAAGAGCTGGTCAAAGAGCTGCGGTGGTGTGTGGTGTGTGTGTGTTGAGGCTGACAGATGTATGGACAAACTTTTTGGTAAAAATCCTACATTTGTAATGTACCTCTAGATAAAATGCAACTGTTTCTTCTCCTTTCCCATGCTAGGCACTTGAAAATGAGGCTTTTCAGGAGTGGGCAAATCAGTTCATTAACATTCACTGGGTTTGATTTCCCAAGAAAATTCAAACAGTGTGGAAGAAAATGACATTAGGCTTTGCCATTAGAGTTAGTGTGAATGAATATCTTCAAACATTTTTTGAAGTGTTTGAGCATAATTCACTAAGGCAGGAATTGGAGGAATTTCATTTTTCCTAAATTAGTCTTGCTTCTCCTTAAATTCCATCTGGAAATTAAGTAGCAGCTTCTTCAGTTTGAAATTGGTCTGACTGTTATAACCTGTACTGAAGATGCTACTTTCCTTTCTCTGGTTTGGCCATGGCTACTCCCATAGATAATTTAATTAAATAAAAGTTATGGCTTCAACTGCTGTTTGATAGTTTGGCTTATAAGGAATGACTTTAGGCAGTCACCCATTCTCATCTGGAGCTGGGTGAATACAACCTGGGGTAGCAATTTGCAAACTATAATTCTCATAGTAAGAGAGCAGTCCAGGGTAGAGGCCTGAAGCTGGTGAATCTGTAGAATGGCAGACTTGGGAGCGTGGAGACTTGGCCAGGCTGCTCATGCTGACACCCCCCTTGGCACAGACAGCGATCCCCTCCTCACCTCCCTCCAGCCTGGAGTTGTCTCTGGTGCCCAGAGGAAGCAGGGCTGACACAGAGCCCTGCCCTAGAACAACCAACCATCCTTTCTGTGAAGTTGCTGGGGGACAACGGCAAGTCCGGCTCCTTAGCGACTTCCCGCACTGCCTGCTTCTGATCCCAGATTCTCCGGGAAGACATGGTTTGGCTCAGCAGCAGCTCAGGGGAGTGGGACTAAGGCCTGGTGTGTTGAAAACTTCCCCTGCCTCTTGAGACAGCCCAGGCTGGAGTTGTCTGGACTGATGAAGAGTGAGTCTACTTTCTACAAGGAAAAAATCCTGACCACTTCAGTCAGTCCATTAAAGTACAACTAAATCACTCTAAAAAGAATACACTTTGAAACCCTTTGTCACATTTATAAAAACAAAAAAATCCAAAAACTTTCGAAGTTTTAAAAAGTCCTTAAAAATGTATCAACAGCCTTCTTAGTAACAAATATAAAACAGTTTTAAGACACTTGGTGACTTTCTTAGGTCATGTGCCCAGGAGTGTATACACAGAGAGGTTTTACTACTAACATTACCTATTTGGTAGAAGCTCTAGGAAGAGTTCCGTCAAGAAAATAATTATTTTGGAAGGAAAAGGTACTTTTTTCCAAAATGTCAAAGAGAATAAAGATGTAAACATCAAATACTTAACATGTTAATATAGTATCACTTCATTTAAATAAATAAAAGTGGCAGCAACTTTATGGCAATTTGTTCAAGACTAAGATGTAGCTCAAGATATTTTAAAATAAATAATAGCTCCAAACGGAAAGTTCATTTTCAGCACAAGCCAATAGCATTCAAAATAAAGTGCTATGAGAAAAAGTAGCTCCACAAACTTCACCTTATTCACATATGAACAGAAATGTTATTTGGATCTTTAGGTCTGAAATATTCATGGTGAGGAGAAAGTCAGCTTCATAAGAGGCCAGGCGTGGGGCTGTCTTTTGTTGCCATTTTTCTCTTTTCTTCCAATGTGTGCTTAAATATTTTCTTCAGGGTGGTGTAAACTACGGGTCCATTTTCAGAATCCAAGTTAACCTAGTGATAAAGAAAACTTCTATTCAAAGCACTGCAATACAAATTTTAATCAGCCTCTTATCTGGGGAGAAAGGGAGGTGGGAAAAAACGAAATATAAATGAAACTCTGTAATTTAAACTAGGTGTGGTGGGACACATGTAAATCCCAGCACTTGGGAAGGTGAGGCAGGAGATCACTGTGAGGTCAAGGCCAGCTCAGGCTACATAATGAGCTTAAGGCTAGCCTGAAATACATAGCGAGAGCCTGTCTAAAAAAAAAAGGTATAATTTTAAAAATACACATAATAAATTTTACACATTTTAATTAAAGAATACATCAGAATTGCCAATCATGTTAATATCACACTAATGAGTAAACATTCAAAAACTGAAATCTAGTGCCTGGATATTTAGCATAAGTATGTACATCTAAGGATGAAGAAAGTCAACAGTGCATGTGAAGTGCATCTCTAACCTAGAGACAAATCTCCTTTATTAAAGGAAGTATACTGGCAGTAAGTATGGTGCAGAGAAGCTCCAGGCCATTCTGGACCAGTGTTGGAGAGACCTGAGCACTGACTGATGCTGGCTGCCAGCTAGCTACCCCCATTCATACCCTCTCTCTGTGGACCTCAATTTCCTCCTCTCTGAAGTAGAAACCACAACTCCCACTGCCTTAGGATTTCTAGAGTGAATGAAATGCGGCACCTATGGACATCAAACGTATTCTGCACAAACAAAGCTCAGTAAAAGCTAGTTTTCTTCCTCATCACTGAAGAGGTACTGTGTACAGACAGATTCTTTGCCCAGGCTGCCACATTCCAGGTGAGGAGGGACAGCAGGACAGAGAACCAGAGCAAGTGGCCCTGCCCATCCTCAGAGGAACATGTGACCCAGAGAAATACCCAGGATCTTGGGCTCACTGCTCCCCCTGAAGTGATCCTTTTCAGGGAAATTCTGGCAAGCAGATCTAAAGGATCTGAGACTGTAGCCTGCTTGCTTGCCAGCATCATGGGTACTGGCAGAAGATGAGGACTCCTGAGCCACAGCCAGACAGTGTCATTCCTCCTGGTGGCATGTGTCTCATTTTTGTGGGTTCCTCTGACTCCCAAGATCCAACTCAAGGTGACAACTCAAGCAGAGGTTTTGTGTCACAGCTAACAAGCCCCAATCTTCGGAAATCCTTTTGTTGCAATGCTAGGGATTGAACCTAGGGCCTTGCTCATGCTAGGAAGTGCTCTGCCATTGAGCTAATCTCCAGCCCTAAAATTCTAACTTTTTTTTTTTGTTTGTCTGTTTTTCTGGTCCTGGGACTCGAACTCATGACATTGTGCTTGCCAGGCAGGCACTGTGCCACTGAGCTAAATCCCCAGCCCCTAAAATTCTAATTTTTATAAGGGGGCTGCAAGCTAATCAGACAACTTTTGCCCTGAAGAAAAATATTATCTTTATTATATGAGAAGAAAGAAAACTGTGACTTCTGCTCTGCAGGTAAGAGTCGTCAGAGTCTTGATCATTAGACTGCATGGATACGGGACCCATCGATGCTGTCAGTCTCTGACATTTTTATACAATTTTTTTTTTAGGAGGGGTGACACCAGGAATTGAACTCAGGGCTTTGCCCATGTGAGGTAGGTACTCTACCACTGAACTACATCCCAGCCCATTTAATAAATTTTCAAAACAGGATCTTGCTAAATTGCCCAGGCTTGGTGTGAACCTGTGATCTACCTGCTTTAGTCTCTCAAGTAGCTGGGATTATAGGCATTCACCACCACAACCCACTTATTTAACACGAAATGACAATCCACTTCACATGGGTAGGAAGCAGCCTCTCAGTCTACGAAAATGTAAATACAAAGGACCAAATGATTAGATTTGACTCTGGAAACTAGAGAAACAGACTTAATAGACAGAGTGTGCTAGTATTATAAAATACAGAGAAGAAGGAGCCTCAATAAGGAAACCACTTTGGAAAGAACAGAAGGGAAGGAGATTGGATAAATACTAAAAAGAAAGAATCTTCACAATGTGTGAATGAATATAAATGATAACTGCTATTACCATCGATGCCCACCACAAATGTCACTGAAAAGCTGGGTTCTTTAATAACATTTTTATATCATATGTAACAGAACAAATCAGGTCAAAGGTTGAGGGGAACATTCTCTCTTGGCATGAATTTGGCCTTTCTCTGGCCAGAGTGGCTGTAAGCCAAGAGGCTGTGCATAGAAAGGAAGTGTTTTGTTTACCCTGTGCTTAGGACTCACTAACCAGGATACAGTGCCAAACTGCCTATGTTGGTATTTAATTCTCAATAGATGGTTTCTTGTTTAAACCGAAGGTAGAACTGGCTCAACAAGAAAATATTCTTTGACTCCTACTAGGCACATGATTTAAAAATACTTACCCAACACCCAGTTGTTTCTTTTCTTCTATATAAAAGGTCTTTGTTGCAGTGTTCTTCAAAAAACCCACACAGTTCAGCTTTTCCTAATATCACTGGAAACTTACTTTTTCAGCCCAAACTCAGCAATTGCTTAAAAGAAATGCCAAAGACATCACCACTAAGGGGAACTACAGCTGTTTCAGAGGAGGCAGGTGACTTCTGGACTCCTGATTTACACAGATGATGCCGATCTGCGGCAAGGAGAAAGGAGGGAAGAGCAAGACTCACCTTCGTAAAAGCTTTAATGGCATGAGCAAGGCAAGCTTCCTCCACCTCCAGGGGAATTGCCTGCAGGTTCACTATGCAACGCAACACGCAGAGGATAGTCTGGTGCTGTCCCTGTTTTTGCAGAAACCAAAATCAAAAAAGTTGTCTTAAAACTGCCTCAAGAAATTAACTCAAATACAGAGTAAGCAACTAGTTTGTGGCCCATTACTCAATCTCTAGAGCCAAAATATCTACCAAGAACTTTACCAAGTGTTTATTATTGTAATATAATCTGAAAATCTTTAGGAGATAGTATCAAAGCTTGTTAGTTTGTACATAAATTACAATTGAATCTGAAGACCAGTGTAATTTAAAACCAGCTGTTTCTCCTGCAGTACACTTAATAGATTTTCCCCTTTTCTCTGTTTCTGGATGTAATTATTTCCGTTCGACTAGGAGATGCTGAGGCATCATAATGATCTGTGCAATGTGTGCTAGACTATGGCAGATGCTATAGAGAAAGGTGGGCAGAGGAAGAGACAGGCCAGCTCCCCAGTAGTAACGTAGCCCTTAACAAGGCAGCTGCTGGCCTGCCAGGGAAGACCACACAAGGGTGAGTTTATTGACCTGACCACTGGAGACTGTCCACCTTAGTACAGGACAGACTCCATCACTTTGTGCAATACATACTCAAGACATATCTAAGCCATAACCCACCAAGACTCATTAATTTCACTTCTGGAAATCTAAGAGCTTATCTGAAATACAGAATAATCTGCAAGAATAAATGATCATCACAATGATACCCCAAAGAAAAAAACCTGAAATAATACAAATGCTCTCTACCTTGGGGTTGAAGTGATTTATTATAAAGAGTGTTATGACACAGTGTGTGAGCCTGTGCCAGAAAGATCCGAGTTTGAAGAACTCTGTGACAAATGCCCTGAATTTTGGGCAAACTGCTTTACCTCGCCTTGTCTGTAAAGGGTTCACCCACTTCTAAGCACCAGCAAGATGAACAGAAGTGAAGAGAGAGCTGCCTAACAAAGGTCGATCCCTTCCCTTGCCACCTTCTATTTTATCGCTGCAATTTAACTGCTGAGAAAATATTTTAAGAATGAAAGCTAGACACAGGAAAAATATTATCTCAAGAGAGACATATTATACAAAACTGTGTGTGCGTGCACGTTACTGTGGGTGTGTGTCCTGTGTCTCAGTGTGCATTTGTGTGCGGGCATGTGCCTGCAGGTGGGTCTGCGTGCATGCTGTGTTGTGTATGTGTGCTAACATCTTAGTGAAGTTTGGAAATGAGACGTTTATATTGTAGCACAGCAGGTAACTCAACAACATTGTTTCCTAAAATGAAAACAAAGCTAATTTTTAGTTAAAAATTTAGTATCTTTATATGGTTAAAAACACTAACATGAAAGGATCTATGGTGAAAAGTAAGGTTCCTTTCTTTCCTGGATGTCCTATAGTATCCTTCCCTTAAGACAACTACCATAACCAGTTTCTTACTTTTCTTTCTATATGCTTCTGTATTTTATAGATATATAAATTACATGTGTATACACATTTCAAAAACATATAGGATGGGAAGCTGAGCAGCAGGGTGTGCCGGCCCTTGGGCTGGCCCCCAGCTGTGCAGGCGCCCAGGAAGCAGGCAGCAGGCACCTGGGAAGTGGTGTGGCGGTGCACGCCAGCCCTTGGGCTGGCCGCTGCTGTGCAGTCGAGAACTATCATGCCACAGAGAAGCACTGACACAATCAGCCCGTGCTGCGGAGGCGCACCCGGGGATGTGCGTGAACCATCCTGACATGGAGAAACCCCAGGGAAAACACGCCACACGGTGGGTCGCTCTTGGCCCTGCCCTTGAGAACCAGAAAAGTCCAGAGTCAGCAGAGGAGCAGCTGCTGAACAAGGACTCGGAGAACACGAGACTACAGACGAGGCCTGACAACTCAGAGGTTGAGCTGACTGGGGAGGCGAGAGCCGTTCAGGAGCTGGAAACTAGGAGGACCTTACACAATACCTGGGGAGACCTCCTGGAAGCCATTCTCCCCCTGACTTTACAGGCTGCAGTGAAAAAGCACGTGGAGCTCCGGAGAGGTCTGCACAGAGACTTCATGGATTACATAGGTGCCCAATATTCAGATTCTAAAGAACCACCTTCATGGAGAAGGCACATATCTAGGTTACCTGCCTGGGACACTTTGCACCTGATGGTGCTGAGACTGACTAACGGGCCGAGGACTTTATCCACATATTCCTGCTGCCTGTGTTGATGGTTGGGGAGAGGACACTAAATGGTTGTGGGGTCCCAATGCACTGGGAGGCTGGAAAGATGACTGGAGTGGGTGCTCCGTTGACAGTTGAGATGGAGGCACCCCCCCAAAAAAGGGAACACCCCTCTGCTTTCTTAGAACGCTTACAAGAGGCATTGATAAAGCATACTTCCCTGGGTCCCAGTTCAGTAGAGGGACAAATTATTCTTAAAGGTAAGTTTATTACTCAGTCAGCCTCAGATAGTAGAAAAAACCTACAAAAACTGGCTTTTGCCCTAGATAGCTCACTTGAGATGTTAGTAAGAATTGCCTCCTCAGTATTTTATAGCTGTGATGAGGAGGAGACCAAGGAGAGAAAACAAAGAGACTAAGAAAAAGCTGCCTTTGCTGCAGCACTAAGAGAAACAGACCCTAAGTCTGATTCTTGGGCCCCCAAGAAGAACTCCCCAACTACATTCATCTGCTACTGCTGTTAAAAGCCAGGCCACCTCAAGAGGGACTGCCCTAAGAAGCCCCCTAGGCCATGCCCTGACTGTAAAGGTGATGACTAGAGGTCAGACTGCCCTCTGAAGGGAAGGGCCCAGAGCTCAGACCCCTCCTACCAGCTGGTCCAACAGGAATGAGGGGGCCCAGGGGATACGCTGCCTTCTCCCTCTGGCCAGACTGCCATCTCCACGGAGGAGCCTCCGGTAATCATGACTACAGAGGAAAAAGTAAACAGCCTATTGCTGGATACTGGTGCTAGTCTCTCAGTCCTTCTTTTCAATCCTGGCCTTCCTTCCAGCCGTCACACCTCAGTGAAAAGAGTCACTGGTGAGGAGGTAATCCGCTATTTTTCACAACTCTTAGGCTGTAACTACTTGTTAGATCTTTCTTGCATATCTTTGTTTTCCTGAGAAACCACTTTGATGATGCCAACATGTATTACAGCAGCCATTGATAACTTCCTACCAATCTGTCCATAACTCTGTAATGTTTGTATTGTTCCTATGCTATTTTGTAAATGCATGTATGTTTGTTACTATGTGTTTCCAACAACAACCATTGAGAATAGTCAATGATTATTTAATTGATCACTCATGTATAGCTCTATTTGCTTTCTCTAGAAACCACTTTGAAGATACCAAAGTATAGTACAACAACCACTGATAATTTCCTACCACTTTTGTCTGTAACTTACTATTATTTGTCTGTTTACTTTCCTGAGAAACTATCTTGAAGATACCAATAGGTAAAATAACAACCATTGATAATTTTTTACCACTTTGTCTGTAATTCGGTAAGTCCCCCTATTACTATGTTATCCTTTACTCTTTAAAATAAAAAAATAAAAAAACCACACAGGAATGTATGTTCCAACCTACTTCATGGTTTTCATGTGTACATGCTTGTAGAAAATAAGTTTAAAAAGGGCTGGGGTGTAGCTCGGTGTTTGTAGATTTACTTGGCATGCAAGGGGCCCTGGGTTTGATCCCCATCACTCTTCCCCTATTATACTCAGTATTTCTGAGATGTTTATATTATTTGTGGAAAACAGCATACTATTAAGCAAAAATGAAGTATAAAATTACATGTTAAAATGATTTTTTACTAAGTTAAAAAAGTACTGTTAAAGATTTGAAAATATTCTCCCAGGATTGTACATACTTTTTTGTATTTCCTAAATGTTTATGCTATGTATCAATTTCTTCTGTATCACTCTTCTGGTTTTCTCTCTCTCTGTGTGTGTGTGTGTGTTTTGGTGACTCACCCCAACACCCTAGGTAAGTCCTCTACCACTGATCTCTGTTCCCAGACCCCTCTATTTCTTTTTTGGGAAGGGAGGTGCTGTACTAGGGATTGAACCCAGAGCCTTCACACTGAGGTATATCCCCAGCCTTTTCTTTATTTTGAGATGAGATCTCAGTAAATTGCTAAGCTGCCTAGGTTGGGCTGGACTTGTGATCTTCCTACCTTACTCAGTCTCCCAGAGTGCTGGGATTACAGGCCTGTGCCACCACATCCAGCTTTAATTTCTTTTAGCTTGAAAAACTATTAAGTCAGACCTAGATATGAGATTCTGCATGAATTCTCTTTGTTGTAATAGTCTTTTTTTTAAGTGTGTGACATTTATATTGAGGGCCTTATGCATTATCTGGTCCAACAGTACTTTACCTTCTCTAATAAGAACAGGGCTTCAGCAGCATCAGCCTGTCTGTCAACCAGCATGTCCACATCCTCTTTAGTGATTACAGGCTCCTTCAGTTGCTCCACCCAAGACCACATCAAACCACACAAGATGAAAGGGTCTCTCTCACCACATATTCTTTCCCAAGCTCCATCTCGGGAATTTAGTTCTTTCTAAAAAAGAAGAGAAAGAGAGACACGCTGAAGCAGGGAAAAGACAGAGAGGCGTAGGGACTGACAATTGCTGGTCCATAGGCTGCCCGTGAAAGTGGAGGCTCAGGTCTGTGGTGCCAGTTGCGAGTGCTCCAGCCCTTGAGCTTCCTGCTGGGGACACTGGCTAACTCAGGGCACTTCTCTAAGCTTCATGCTCCCTCTGAGGCTGAAGCTCATGCCCTGCCTCCCATGGGGCTGGGCTGACTACTTCATGAAGGGCTGCAGAAACTCAGAGCCTACATAGACTTCATTCAGAAGCCAGAGGCAGTTCAGTAAGAGGGAATCTTCCTTTTCAGGCTTCTGGCAAACAAAACAGAAATACTGATTAGAGAAAAGCAGAATGGTAGAGGAAAAGGTAAAAATAAGGAAACATTTATAAATTAACCTGGGATCTTAGGCAAACCTTCTGACTGAAACTTCAAAGTGCATTTTTTAAAAAGTGCTTGCAAGTTCGTAAATTTATTTCTTTAACATGCTTTTTTAGAATCCTATATAGAATATATCAAAGAACAATCCTTGCACCCTGAAATTTGCTAGGGTGAAAATAACTAGGAAGTCTTGTTAATACTCCAAATACTCGGAGACAATGTAAGCATGAGATTTTATAAACTCCCCTTCACATAAGGCAGGGGTAAAGTGAGATGAAAATTTTAATTAACTTCTGATGGGGGTCAGAATTATGTTTCAGTAAATCAATCAGTTTTATGATAGTAATTAATGTAGTGATCCCTTCCATTAATGCATTCACTCAGTATTTGCAGCATGCTTACAACAAAACAGAAAGTATTATACAAGACTTCTGTCTTAACTTTTACAGAACTCTGCAGGGAGGCTCCTCACAGATAAAAGTGAGAGAGAGGAAATAACTTGCCTGGGACCCCAAAGCTAGACACTGGCAGAGGCATTCCATGCAAGCTGCCTCACTCCATCTACACCTGCTAGGCCCAAGGACCTCGGCTTCCCTGTACCGAGTTTCTCTTTATTATCTTATAAATAAGTCAATACTTCCAGTTGTCTGTCTTCTTTCCCATTCTCACAGGTCATGTTTATAAAAGGTAACTTTGGATTCAATTTTATGTAGCTAAGAAGGAGACAAACTACAAAAAAACCTCTCAGTAAATGACTATTTAAGGCAATGCTTCCTGAAGCTTTCCAGGGAGGTGAGGAAGACCTAAGAGGACAATGGAAAGAAAACAGTCCGTGCTCTGGCTGTGCTGGACACAGCTGTGTGACCTGCAGCAAGGCATTCAGCCCCTGCGACCCTTAGTTTTCTCATCTACAACACTAAATTCATAAGATAAACAAGGAATCTATAAATGGTACCTTCCGCCTCACAGGACTAGTGTGAAAATCACACAAAGTAATGCATGTGAAAGTGCCTAATATACATATAGATGACATCATATTATTCAAATAATGTTCATTTTAGTTTTTTCCACAATTCAGTTCAATCTTTTAAAAGTGGAAGACCTAAAATAAAATCCAGAAAGCAAAAAAAGGGGAGGCTATCTCAATTAAAGGTTTGTGTTCATATGTTAAGTAAAAGCCACAAATAGATCTCAGAGTCGTCCTGTCAGATAAAATTAACATCAACATGGCAGTCTGTGGTCTTTCCCATTTGCTTCCCTGAGTCCTGACAGTGGTCCCATTGGACTGAGGCTGGCAAGTCTGAAGGACAGGAGGCTGAGAAGAAAGATCTCATTCAACACTAGTACCAAAGAGCTCTGGGAAATCATCTTATGTTTCTAAGTCAGTGGTTCTCAGGGTGGTTCCCTGTGCCAGGCATTGGGTTAGATAGTTCATGCTGGTTCCTGATGTCATCTTCTGTGTGCTGGTTGCATCCACAAACGCAGTTAGCAAGAAAAAAAGCTACCAACATCAATGCTTTGTTCGGACTAAGTATAGTGCCATGTGCTTTCTTTCACATGGAGATTTGAATGAAACAACACAACTCTGCTGTGTCATTTCTATAGCATCAGATTCCTATCACAGCTGAGAAACCTCAAGTTCAAAAGTATGATGCAAATATATCGTGACATTTCTACAACAAATAACGTGCAAAAACGTGTGGTATAATTACTGACATAATTATTTTCTGCTTGTATATAATGGAATGAAATTACAATACCTGCCACATTTCTACCTTCTTTTTCACTTCCTCCTTTTCCACAGACTCATTTAGGTTTGCCAGGGCTTTGGCTGCCAGTATTCTCCTTGCTTCTATACTCAGTTCAGACTGCAAAGTAGAGTGTGGCACTGCTTCAGACAGATCTTTGCTGTCCTGAATATCAGGCCCAACCAGTACCTGTGCCCTGGGACTGGATCCACAGTCTAGAGGTCTGCAGTGAGTCTGGCCCTCCTCCTTGACTGAGCCAGGGTCCCAGCCACCATGAGGTTCACACTGAAAGTGGGCCACTTGCTGGTGAGAGGGATCTGGGATCTTGGAGACATTTGCCAAGGTGGGTGTAACTGGTTCCCCGGGATTGTGTGAACCCAAAACACCCACAGAGAAGGTTCGACTCCGCTGTATTTCCTTTGGAATGTCGTTCTTTTGGCAAAGGGGTGATCCATCTTCTTTGTGTCCCTCCAAGTCGCCACACTTAGACTGGTTCCAGAAAGAAAACGTACTGCGAACCAATGCTTCCTTACTGAGATCCAGCTCTGGAGACAGTGGGATGTAACAGTGGCTGCTGGGCTTCTGCTGCTGGAGGTTGTGGCCCAGTAAGTCCTGGGCAGGCACTGTCCACGGAGTCTCCCCTTGCTCGAGAAGAGCCTCTGCCCTCTTCAAGTCCGAGTCACTGTAGCTGAGCCGCCTTTTCAGACGAGTCAGGGGCTGAAGGCACTCAACATTCCGCCTCTTCCAAAGAGGATCAAATTCTGGATCATTGCAAAGAATCACATCTTGATTCTCAAACTCTGCTGCCACTGCAGTAGAGCTAAATGGGTCAGCTACGTCACTGTGCTGCCTCAGTAACTTTTTATCCAGGCGCATTGTGACCATCTCAGAGACAGTCTTTTCAATTTCAGCAGAAAGTCCAGACTCTTCCAATCCATCCTTCATCACCACTGGCCTGTTCTCAGCCAAGTCCAGTAGCAATTTGCAAACTAGGTGGATGATTTTTGGCACATGTTTCAGAAGTCGTGCCTCATAACCATGAAGTAGATGACGCTGGCGAATTAAGTATTGGGCTAAGGTGACAGCATGTGCTTTGGGGTCGCAGCAAGAGAAGATATTGCGGAGAGGGGTCAGAAACTGAGTAAACTCCCGTACACACAGCAGCTGCCCTCTGGTTTGTATGGAATTGGGCCGCTTTGCCCGCACAAATATAATGGCTTGATCAGCGGTCATTCTTGTTGCAAACACTAAATAACATGCTATTAGAACACCTAAACACAGAGGAAGGGAAGACAGATAAAAGCGTATGGTTTTGTTTATCACTCTTTGATGACAAAAAACTTGAATACCTGTTAAGACACCGTATAAACATGTGAAACATAAACATGTGAAGGACAACTGTAATACTTTGTAACTTTTTGTACAGGTGTTTATTATTGCACTCCCTTTTCATATAGATTTTACTTGTACCTCTGGGTGGCAGTCCCCCACCACTCAGCTCTGTGCCCTAGAGACGGGCTAGCACAGAACTGGCAGGTGAGGATGGGTGGAATAGGGGAAACATGACAGAGAGAGCTGAGGATCTGATCCATTATGGTCATGAACATTAAGTAAAAGGCAAGTGACTCACAAGCTCAGGAACATCTTACATATGAAAACCAGAACCTCTGAAAATTGCATGCTCTCTAGTTTGTGGTAAGGTATAGCTTATCTTTCTCACTGGGACATGGAAGGTCTTTACTGTGATATCTTGAGAATTATCACACACATTGTCCACGAAGAGTGACTTTTCTCCCTAGGATGCTCCACGGCAGGTGCGAAGTCCCTAACAGGCACACAGGTATACAGTGGACGGAGAGGGGCTGCTGATGATTTGGTCATATTAAACCACAGGAGGGGCTGGGGATTTAGCTCAGTGGCACAGCACCTGCCTGGCGAGCGCAAGGTCGTGAGTTCGATTCCCGGTACCAGAAAAAAACCAAACCAAACAAACAAAAAACCCCCAAAAACGGTATACATACTAAACCACAGGACAGTGAAAATATCAACCTTATGGCCTTTGTTTTTACTCTCAGATAAGCAGTATAATGATATTTACTGAATTTTTAAGTAAACTCACTGCTTTTTATATGGAATTATATGCACAGAGAATCTTTCCTCCACAATCATAATCCTTACAGCTATGGATATAAATTTGACCCTGGCAGTTGTAATGTAGCAAATTACTTTTCACAAACTGAAGTTTCTTCCACTCACATAATTTGTAAAGATTTTAAAAAATAGCAAATGTAAAATGCTTAAAATATAGAAGGTGAAAATAATGCCTGCTATCTTGTCACTTTATTTAAAATACATTATATATTAAAATGAAGTGATTTTTTTCCTAAAAAAAAAAAAAAAGAAAACAGTGGTCATTTGAGTACTTTTAAATCTGTTTAAAAAGATGCATTTTCAGGCCTAAGTTATTGAAAAATATTCTCATTAATATTAGCATATGGCCTGTTATTTATGATTTTCATTTGACTCCAAACATTTCTCTTTAGAATTAGGAAATCTTACTCTTTTTTATGTTTAAGTATGCCTAAAGAGAATAAAACCACTTCCTCAGACTTACCTGTTCGGCCAAGTCCTGCATGACAATGGATGGCTACTTTTCCTTCTTGTAAGGCAAATGTCATTACTTTCACCATATCTAAGATGGCAGTGAGAGATGCTACACCATAATCCTTCCAGCCAAAATTATAGAAATAAACTAGGCAATAAAAAACAGAAAGGAAAAATGAAATTAATATACAGAAATAAGTATTTGCAAAGACATCTGAAAAAGATGAGTGAATTCATAAAAAGTATAAAGACATAAGGCATAAATATTTCACTGGATATACAGACCTAAAATAATAGGCTTTTTACATTTCTACTATGTTTTAACTATCATTTATCACAAAACACATTCTATATTAAGACATTTCTTGCTGAAACTCAGCAAGGAAGAATTATGAAAAAATAGAATTACAAATTAATAAAGCCAACGATCCACATTAAAGTATTAAAGTTACTAAGATATGGTGACAAAGCATGTATTTTTTCTTTTTGGAGACAAGATCTCACTAAGTTGTCTATGGCCTCAAACTCTTGATCCTCCTGGTTTAGCCTCCCATGTGCTGGAATTACAGGTATGTGCCGCCATGCCCTGTAAGCTCACACTGCTGAAGCATGGAAACACATCTAAATGACTGATGGACTGCTAAAAATAGTGTATACAGATTTTCTACCTAGGGGAAAACAGAAAGCTAAATACAAGCTTAAAAATAAGTTCCAAGACTGTGTGTTTATCCTGTTCGGCTTGCTATGAATAACATGTGCCAAATGGATTCCATCCCAAAGCTCCTGTTACTGAGACGCCTCCAGGACTGTCACAAGAAGTATTCCCAGCATCCTGCTGGAGGCAGGGCTGGCTGCAGCCAAAGCATAAGCAAATCCATCTCCCAGCCCTGGCTGCCACTATGAGGCTGTGTGATCCTGGGCAAACCAGTAACTTTCTAAGCCTCTGTGGCTTCACGTGTATAACAGAAATAAAACAAATGTGTTACACAACTCCTGCAAGGGTGACATGAGATAACCGTGTCAGACACACTGTAGGGATCAACTGAATGGGAGTCTTATACAGCAGGTCCCCTCCCAGTGGCTCTCTCATAGGAAAAAAGAAACCTTGTACTTGCAACACCAATACCAAGGAAGAATGCTAGCAGCATTTAAGGTCAGAATCATCCCATCTTTATTTCCTATAAGCTCTGCTACTTTGCAATTGATATTTATTTTTATTATCTTTTTAACCTGAAAGTTTAGAAGACAAAAATCTTTGAGCACTCTTCTTGATAATTTCCAAGGAGGGTAAGTGGGAGATAACTTACTGCCAGCCTCCATGAATGCTTCAGGAAGGTATGAAAAGCCACTTTCTTGTTCCAGAGAGTTCCCACAGCTAGCATGTTCACCAGGCCGCTGCAGGTTGATGATTGTTTTTATGCCATGACTTAAAAAAAAAATTAGTCATATCAGAAGATGGAGTTTAAAAAAACACTTTGGGCATTAATAAACATTATTAACTGCTCTCAAAACCTTAAGCTCTTCAATATTTTAAAAATTAAAGCATATTTTCATTTATATCTCTCCTTATTTAATGAGGACAGATATTTATGCAGGAGGCACAAGCAATGTAAGACAAAACAGAAAACAGTTTGCTCCCCACAGTGTGAATGACACATTTACCTGAGGAACTGCTCAATGATGTGGTACTTCTGGAGGAGCTCGGAGGATGGACGAGCCATGGCCAGGATGCTGTCAGTGACCCTGCAGGGAGGGGGGAACTGGTGAGAAGCACGGAAACCACATCATTTTTATCTCAAAGACTGAGAGGTGAATTTTTTCTATGATTTCAACAAACCTGTAAGAATATTCTTATACAAATCTGGCTTCAATTTTATAACATGATTAGCGTTCTAAGAATCTAGCATCTTAAATTTCTGAAAAAAAAGTCCAGAACATAATGTATTTATGAACTCTGATGAAATATCTCCAAAAACTCTAAATAGATTCTAGCAGATATAATGGAGAAACCTCACTAGTGGCAAAATTAATTACAGTATCTTGATTAATTAGCCAATGGTTAAGTGACTAAACAAGGAAGGCCAACCTAGAGGCACTCTGATTACTCAGTTGAGGTCACCTGAGGCATTAAATGGGGATAATAATGCCTGACTCAGAGTTGGTGTGAGAATTCTGTATGATATGGATATAAAATCTAGAACAAATCTTGGCCTGTGGTTATGAATAAATATTGAGTTATTATAATTTAGCAAAAAATATGGGCTCTGGAATAAGTCAGGCCTGGCTTCCAATGCTGGCTTTTCTCTACCTGTGAAGCAAATTAATTAATCTCTCAGGAACACCAATTGAGTGGCACTAACAACTCAAGGGTTTTATGAAGATGAGTGAGAATTTTAGAGCTTCTACCAAAGTGCCTGCCCTATAGCCAAATAGATATTTATGAACAAATGAATGGACACAGGCCCAGTAAAATATTATCACTTGTCAGGCCCCTGGCTTTGCTCTATTCCTTGTCAACTTCTCACGAGTGGCCAGGTAGTCTATTGCAAGTTGCAGATCACATGAATCTCACAGGAGTAAGAGACATTAGATTAGCAGGGCTGGATTGAAAAGATACCTCCTGCCTTGTAACAATGTGTAAAATTTAATATGGGCCCAAAAGGTCTGGGATCCCCCAAATTTACCAGTACTTAGCAGAAAATGATGAGAGATATAATGTCAAAAACAGCAGAGATGAAAAGATGTACAAGATTTTGTCAACAATAGAGTAAAACAAGTAACATAACTTTAAGCTGAACTACTAGAAATCTACTTGTCTGACTATGCCTCAGGAACAATATTTGCTTTTTCATACCATTACAGTCACAATGACAGGTCTCAATATAAACTATGGAGAACAAAAAAGACAGTGGACCCCAAAATGTGTTACTACAGACATACCCAGCAAATCCAATACAAAAAAGTACAGATCACAAGTCAGATAAGTATCTAATTTAAAAATGAGCTTTTGCTATATAAAATAATTCAATAGTGAATTCTTCTAAGTGTGTTTCAAATGTAATTTGATTATCAGAATTTTTCCAGCTGTCACATCTCAAAACCAGTTTATTGTTACTAGTGAAAAGCAGTATGATTCAACAATTTTAATTGCACTTACATACCAGAAACAATGGCAGCATTTTAGGTTGTCTGCTGAGCTGACAACCTGTGCCACTTCTATCAAGGCAAACAGGTGTATTTATGTGAAAATATATCCTTTTGCACAGAATATAAGAACAACATAACAGACAGGCTGAAGGTTACCTGCAAGAAACTGAAGAACTATATATGTACCTCATAATTTCCTCAAAGTTATAGCTGAGCATCTTTATTATTTCCAGAAATTTCTCAAATTTAAGAGCTAATTACTGATTTCTTTTAAAAGCAAATCCCTATGTTTTTGACTAATTATTTCCATTTTATGGACGAGAGACTGAGGGTGAATAGGCCAGAGTTCCAGATGGTTTAGGCAAAGCCAGGGGGTGAAAGTGCAGTCCCCTGACTTCAAAGCCCAGGAGACCCCTTCCACATGCACTGTCTGCCAGTTCCCATGCATCTTCCCCTTTTATCCTGAAGAGCTGGGGAGGACCAACAGGACCCTTACCAAGATGAGTAAACCCCCTTAATGGCTTGCTCCTGCTCGCTCCACCGGGTTGGGTTCTCGTACTTGCATGCTCTACCCCCACATGCCATGGAACACGCCATGTGTCCAGGGATAACATGCCGTAAACGTTCTCCCACTTTTGTGTACTTTGGTGTTGGGCGTCCTGTATTTCCTGGAATACGGAAGGAAAGGAAGAGTCAAAATCCTACTCTCCAAATGCAATGGTTGCACAGGAAATAGCTTCCATTTTCTCTCAGGACAGTAAATCTTGAGACAGTGCTAAATGCTTTTCATCTAATATTTAAAAAGCTTTCACATACAATAACCTCCACACATTATATGGGTAACGAAAAGGAAGAAAGTGCAAAAGCCAATCTTTTACAAAAGGACAAGTTTTGTTCCAAAACTACATTTTTAAGTGAAAGACAAAACAAAAAACATCCAATCATTTTTTATGTCCTCTTACATATCTATTCAAATTCTGAGCATGACAGTAAAAAGTGTAACGTAGAATTGTCAATACTTAAAAAGGTATAAACACAACACAGCCTATTCACATTCCTTAAATCTAGTTACAAAGGTACGTCTATCAGAAGAAAGAGAGCTTTACTTTTTCTCTCCGGGAAAGTTGGGTTCCCCTCTGGGCGGCTGACAGAGGACACTGCCACCATCACCTGAAGAGAGGATGAGGACAGCAGCTTTGTGGCAGAGCCAGAGCCACGCCGAGCCTGCTGCAGCCTCACGACGGGGTCTGAAGTGGAGTGCCGGCGACCCTGAAGAAATGAGCTGAGGAAATGCACGGCTGAGGGTCTCCGGGACACGTCCTGTACCTGCATGGTGCTGGCTCCAGGAAGGCAAGAGTTGGAGGCAGGGAGAAGCTTGCTCAGTGAGCAAGTACACTGAGACACAGGCAACCTTCTGCATGATCTAAGAGCTATTCAGGATAGGCTGATTCGTTTCCATAGTGACCAACAAAGAAACTACTGATTCCCACTTAGAGCTGAACAGCAGAAATCCTACATGAATGGATTGTGTTTTGGACAAATTGTTCAACTATAAGGAAGAATAATATGCCTTTTAAAGAGATTTTTTCCTAAACCTTGATTACTTCATTTTGTTTCTCAAATGTACTTAAAGATCTAGCTACTCAAAGAATTACTTTCAAATAATTGTAATGAATTTAGAAAAATGTCTTTATGATGTAACCATTGCCTTTTACACATATTAAGATGTTTGTTTATTTATTTATTTATTTATTTATTTAGTCTCTTTGAGACAGGGTCTCGCTATGCATTTCAGGCTGGCCTTGAGCTCATTTTGTAGCCCAGGCTGGTCTTGAACTCGCAACAATCCTCCTGCCTCAGCCTCCTGAGTGCTGGGATTACAGGTGTGGGCCACCACGCCTGGCACATATTAAGATGTTTAAAATCTGCTATTCCTTCCTTTGAAAATTTTTTGGGGTACAGCCCTTTCTACTTTTCTTTTAAACAAGATAGGTAAAATACTAATTGTAATAATGTGGGATAAGTTGGGTACCATATAACACTATTAAGACATCATTCAATCTTTCAGAACAAATATCCCCTCTGTTTTCTTGCTAGAATTACTGAAGAAACACCTGAATAGACTAAATACATTTTTAGAGAAGATAAATTAGCAGAAAACACTTCGTTTCAAATTTTATTTTCAGAATATGAAAACCCAGTTCTTGGTAATGCCTCTGTGGGGTAATAACTGTTAGTTATGAGTAACTGAGCAGCCATGCCTCTCAAAAACTCAATTCTTTGCCTTTTGTTGCCATGGAAGAGAAAAACTTTAATGTCTTGGTGGAGGCATATGAAGAGAATTCACTACAGTATCACATTTTTAAAGAGCTGGATGAGGGGGAGGTAGCACTTTGAGGATAAAGGATATAAAGAAAAAGAAACATCAACAACCACCAATGTGCTCATTGTCCGCCTCCTCCCGTGTTAATGTCAAGCCACACCCGCGCTCACTTATACGCTTTCTCTTGTGCTCTCTGCCCAAATGGTATTCCAGTTGTGCAGAAAGGAAACAAAACTCTTGCCATACTTGGGGCTCTTTTCTGCTTTAACTATTACTAACGCTACAAGCAAGCTGCTTTAAAAATGCCACCCCCATTTCCTCAACAATATGTACTTTTGTCAAGTAAGACACACAGAAGCCTAGTGTGGTACCCAAATTCCTATGCCATGTATAGTATTATGTTCTTACTCTGTAGTATACAGCGGTGGAGACCCTCCTCCCCAACCAGAAAGCACAGCTTTCCTGTCAGAGAAATGGCATAAGGAGTGTTCTAGGCAAGGGCAACATGGAAAACGGCAGTTCCACACAAAGGAAGGCAGAGAAGATATGGATGAGGAAAGCAAGGCGGCATGTATGACAGGAGGCCCTAGACGCTCCATCTGAGGAGCTGTGTGAGCTGCCTGGGACACAGGGAGTCTGTCTGGGTTTCCAAGTAGGTCCCTGTGCTTCTGAGTGGGCAGCACTTGGACAGCCCTGAGTAACAAGGATGAGCTGACAAGGACAGAGGCTCTGGGGATGCAGGATACTTTTGGTGACACTGGGACTCTAGCTCAAGTGACTGGCGAGATCCTGCAGCTGGTTCACACAGGACTCCAGCAAAGAGGATGGGAACAAGCGGCAAGCTCCACTGGAAACCAAGATGGCTAAGGCGATGAGGAGAAGTGGTACAGAAGGGTGTCTGGAGAAGGAAGTCACAGGAATTTTGTTTCCAGTTGTACTAAAAATAAAAACAGTTTGCTGAGGGCTAGGAATTGTTGGATCAAGGTAAGGAAGGATGGTAGATAAATCACTACAAGAATAATTTCTTCTGTGAAATCTTCGGGAATGTGCTGATTAAAGTTACTGTACAGTGAGTGACCCTGTGTCAGGGCCTAAGGAAGTTCAACTTGATACATACACGAGTCTCCTGGGCAAAAGCAGGCCTCACAGCATGCCTGCTCTGCGTGCTGACAGTGGGGTGCTGGGCATGCACTGTGCATCCATCTGGCAGATGAAATGCAACGCTGGGCACCTCCGGGCATGAGAGACAGGCACGTAAACCTTCACTTCCTCTGTTGTCTGAAAGACTGCTCCAAAACTGTTCCTTAGCAAACTACCCAATTCATAGCACAACTCATTTTTTAAAAACTACCTTTATTTCTGTCATAGAAAGCTTTACAAAGGGAGAGGCCTACCTTCAGAGCTTTCACTGTACATCAGCCCCATTTCCCTTCCCCAAATTGATCATGTACTTATGGATTTTCTTCACATTTGCAACTATATTGGATATGTATTTTTCCTGCTTTTTTTCAATCAGTACAAGAACATTTTCCCATTTTGTGTTTGCCTTTTCATAAGTTTTATTAAATGGAAGCAAATGACTAGGACACATTAAGTTACTGCATAAGTTTACATAATTATTCCTTATTTGTTTGACACTGAAGCTATTATCAATTTTTATTTTAAAATAAGACATTCAACTCTTCAAGGCTAGAACCTTTCTAATTCTATGTTCTTCCTTCAGTAAATCCCTGTGGATGGTATGACTGGTGAGCAATTATTTTTCAAAATCTCTATTTTTATTTAGTTGAGTTTTTAAGTTTTAAAAACCAAGTATGGGGGCTGGGGATTTAGCTCAGTGGCACAGCGCCTGTCTGGCAAGAGCAAGGTCGTGAGTTCGATTCCTGGTACTGGAAAAAAAACAAAAACAAACAAACAAACAAAAAAATAAAAAGCAAGTATGAAGAGTCAGAAAGAAGGAACACTTTTAGCAATTCAACATAGGATTTTTTTTTTCCTTTCTTCTGGAGTTAGATACACATCATTAAGATAAAGGAACATTATACTGTCTCTGAAAATTTTTGTACTAATTGCCTTTGCCCCAGCAATCTCATCATCTCTACCACTTTTTGCCTCCTAAGGACATTTTTATCCATAGCATATTGCCAAAAAGAATCATGTGAACAACTTTAAAGGCATTATTTTCCAATTCTTAGAGTAAAAGATTTTATATTTGTACCAAATTGGTCTTTTATATTCTCTTGAAAATACTTTTTAATTTTGCGGGTCAAATTATGTTTGTCTTACCACTTAAAATCAATTAAAAATTTAATTTAGGATGAGCTATCAATTGCTAGTGATGAACTGTACAGGCTCTTATACATAGCATTTTAATATTTATTGGAAATTGTCAGTAGGAAAAAAATAGACCTATTTAAAAATTTTGTGTTCTATTTTGTTGCAAGCAGATTTTAATTTTCTTTCCTTTTTCTTTTTTTTGGGGTGAAATGGTTTTTTATGAAGGCTACAGAAAGCCTTTAAATGTTACCACCATAAACTCTACTCATTTCCTTCCACTACAGTTAAAATTTATTTGCAGGTTACAAAAACCAATAGTACTGTTGTTTTTTCACTTACCTGCTAATAACCAATCTATTTTTTCCCTCTTCTGACAATGTGTTTTTCTAAACAAGTACTAAGGAAAAATATGTTCCATTTTCTTCATTTTATGACCATAAAATCAGAGGGGACTGTGTCTGAGTTCCTGTTTTAACTCTTCTCCCTACTTCTAAATATGCAGTCTCTGGGTAAAAACCACCACCACCACCACCACCACTACGCTCCAAGAGAGTCGGAAAACACTACAAAAGGAAATCCACATGATTAGTCCTGTATTCTGGGGACTACTGAGATGTCCCTGTGTAAGAAGTGTGAAGAGGATGGGCACCATGCTGGTTGTCTCCAGATCAAACACTTTTGTTGCCACTGGTCTATTTATAGTCAGACAATCAGACAGAACACTTTTGGAGTAACAGTTACGGAAACAACAACATACTGGTCACTGCAAATGCAAAATTATCCACACTTGTGATAACCACAGAAACAGTAAGCCTACTAAATGGTTCAATCAATGAGTATTCGGCCTTTTCCTCTTTAATTTCTAAAAGTGGGAGGTGGAAACTGAATATCCTTAACAGGTCTGAAATGCCAAGCACTGGTGACTTCCACTCTCAACTTTCAGTAAGAGCTATTCCTTCTTCTGCAAGCAAATTCACACATCTCTCGGGGGACTGGAATGAAGGTCCATTTACTTAGTTGTAGGTTCATTTCCAGGAATCTCTCTGTGATGCTGACTTTTCAGCCTTG